AGCCTCAGAAAGTAGGCATACACCCATAACTACAGAGTGTAATAGGGTAAGAATGAGTATGCTTATTAGTAAGACAGTATGCAGATAAAAACAGAAATCAGAGAATGGTGTGCAGTGTATTGTGTAGTGTGCGCAGTGTACAACCAGTGTAAAACAGATTGCATGTATGCAGTGTGTGTGGTGTACAGATAGTGTAAGGCAAAACTATAAAACAGAAAGGAAAAGTGTACCTTCCAGGCTCGCCAGTAGTCTCCTATAGCAGATATGTTCGCTGCGACGGGATGAAGAGTTCATGTACCCGTAAAGCATGGCCAAGCCAGTGCCACCTCAATCATAGCGTCGGATCCTGGTTACGTCCACCAATGCGCTCAGCAGATAGAGGGCAACTGTGCTCACCCGGTCAGCGAAGAGGGTGGTACCCAGCAATAACATAATGAACCCTCGGCATATTGTTCGACCTCTTCGCGGGTCGTTGGTGCCTGTACTCTGAACTGGTCCTCGAACCAAGAATGCCTCACGAACCCTGGGCGAGAGAGAGGTGGGTGAGCGCCAAGCAAGAAGATCTGGGCAGCATCGCACTCACCCATATCAGTATTAAAGGGAATCGGATCACCCCCTACTCTAATGCCAGTGAGCATGGAGAAGTCAAAAGGGGTCATCGTCATCTCTCCCGCAGCGGAAAGGTGGAAGGAATCAGTGGTGTCCCACCACCTCTCCACCAGCGCGCCTAGAAGGGGTCTACTCGTAGTGAGGCACGAGAGTCCTATGCAGAGTGTGCCAAAACTGGCTTGATCAACGATGTGGCGGACCTCATCAGGCAACTCCATGTACCAACCTTGGGCGATGGTATTCCCATACCCCCGAAAGGTATGGGAATCTCCCTGTGTTCAAGACAAACAAATGCAAAGCAGTGTCAGAAATACAGTGTTTGAATATGTTCAGAATTGATGAAAATGCAGTGTGTGTGCATGTGCTTGAGTTTACACAGATGTTATGTATGAACGTGCTCAGGGTGAACTAAGCATGTGATCTACAAATGTGTTTGTGATGATCAGATAAGGGGCAGTATTAGCTATTCAAGGTATATGACCTACATTACAGAAAGTAAAGAGGAAGAGTATACCTCAGCGGCGCCGTAAGAAAGGTGAGACTCCGACTTGTGTAGTAGGAGCTCCAATGGTGCACCTCGTGCGTAGCTCCTGAACTGGCAGATGCTATCAGGAGGCAGCACATGTATCGTGGGCTGGTATGTCGTCGGGTCGAACGGTCGAACACTGAGAGGTAAGAGCTTGACCTCGGGATCCGTATCCATCTCTAAAGGAGTCCCACCCCGTGGAATATCGTCTGCCATCTCGAGAAGAGTGCAAAAATGGTCGAAGGTATGGAAAATGCGTAAAAATGCAAAAAGTCAACCGAAAGTCAACCCCGAGGGGTAAAAAATGGAGAAAAATGACAAGGCTCGGAAGAGGGCACGAAAATCAAGGTAAACTCGGGGGAAACAAACCCCAAGTGTTGGAAATCGAGAATGTGGCACCGAAATCACGTTTCGTTTGGTTCAAAGTGTTTGGAACAAAGAGGGTTTTGCGAATCAGAAGTTGCGGGAGGCTCGAAAACGAAAGAAAAGCTCGGATCGAAGGGAGGAAAATGACCTAGAGAGAGGGGAATGATTTTCGGCTAAGGAGAAGTGAGGAAATAGGGTTTGGAACCCTATATTTAAAGACCCAAAGCAAATGGACAAAATTGCCCCGAATCTGCCACTTTTGGCCAATCGGCCAAATTGTTAACCGATCGGCTAAATTGTTGGCTGATAAGCTCATTTTATGGCCGATGGATGGCCGATGGCTTCCCCTTATGGTCGATGCACCTCCAATGCCCTTGTTTGGGTCAATTCTATTGATTGGTACCCTCATATTTCAAGAAAGTACAAGAAAATACACTTTTGAAGCTTAAGCGGCCTTCGTGGTGGCCCCGAACCGTGTCTTCTATCTGCGGCACTCGATATGCACGAGGTGTATCCTTTTTCGTATCCTATTGTATATTGCAAGATTCAAGAATTGCTTGAGAATTGCTTTTGAATATCTTGCCTTACGAGTGTTTCGTCATGCTTGTAAGGCGCACACTTGTTATACGTCTTTTCGCTCTTGCAATGAGCATGCATCATCTCATTTTAAAGTTGCATCTCAACATTGTGGATAACATGCCTTTACCATGCTTACGTTGAATATGCACATCTCACTCGCATTGTTATGCACACACTATATGCATTGTCACGCACATTTTGTTTGCATTTTCATGCACATTCCCTTACATGTGTTCATGCACATTTCCTCTCATTGTTATGCACATTGCTTACGTTGTCGCGCATGCTTTACTTACATGTGTTTATGCACCCCATGGCTTGCGTTGTTGCGCATGCTTCTCCCTTGCATTGTTATGCACATTGCTTGCGTTGTTGCGCATGCTTTACTTACATGTGTTTATGCACCATTGCTTGCATTGTCACATATGCTTTTCCATGCATTGTTATGCACATTGCTTGCGTTGTCGCGCATGCTTTACTTACATGTGTTTACGCACCCCATGGCTTGCGTTGTCGTGTATGCCTTTCTTGCATTGTTATGCACTTGGCTTGCGTTGTTGCGCATGCCATTCTTGCATTGTTATGCATTTTTTTATCCGCGTTGTCACGTACACTTAGGTTACATTGTCATGCATCCCCTCACTTGCGTTATCATGCTTGTTTCAGTTGCATTGTTATGCACCCCTTGCTTGCGTTGTCGCGCATGTTTTACTTACATTGTTATGCTCGTTCTAGTTGCATTGCCATTCATCTTCTCACTTGCATTGGGTATGCACGCGTTTATTTCATATTGGAATTGTATCTTGACGTGACGTTGAGCATATGTTTCTACAATATTGCACCTATTGAATCTCTTTCTTACGCAGGCACGATATTGTATGTACGGTTCATTTGAGGCTAGTGCAACCAGACGATATTGTATGTATGGTTCATTTGAGGCTGGTGCAACCAGACGATATTGTATGTACGGTTCATTCAGAGGAATTCCAGGTAAGACCTTTCCTGTCCTTTGAGTTCGTTTTGTTTCGGTTAGGGATACCCGGGTGTGCTCGGTGTTCTCGCTGTACCCTTGTTAGAAGCATTCGGACTCACTTCGATGCTTATGCAACTCCTGAGTGCTTGCACTAATGCTTCCTTTCCTCTTTTGCGTGTGATACGCTAAGAGACGCTTCCTTCCCTCTCTCGCATGTGATACGCTGAGAGGTGTACCTTTTTTTCTCTCGCGTGTGATTCATTGAGAAGTGATGCTTTCTTTTCTCTCTTGCATGTGATACGCTGAGAGATGCTTCCTTTCCTCTCTTGCGTGTGATACGCTGAGAGATGCTTCCTTCCCTCTCTAGCATGTGATACGCTGAGAGGTGTACCTACCCTTCTCTCGCGTGTGATACGCTAAGAAGTGTCGGTTCCTTCCCTCTCTTGCGTGTGATATGCTGAGAGGTGTACCTTCGCTTCTCTCATGTGTGATACGTTGAGAAGTGTTGTTTCCTTTCCCTCTCTCACGTGTGATATGCTGAGAGGTGTACATTTCCTTCTCCTGCGTGTGATGCGCTGAGGAGTGTTGCTTTTTCCTCTCCCGCGTGTGATGCACTGAGAGGTGTTGTGTTTGAGACTCCGAGTATTTTTGGTAGTCACTTTTAGCCTTCTCCGTGTGAGACGCAGTGAGAATTGCATAGTTTTCTTTCATCCTTTATGTTGGAATATGCGAGACTGTTGTTTCTTATTCACTTAAAATTTTGTATTTGTTTTGTATAAATGCTTCATTACAGTTCTCTTTGCATTATCATAAGTTATGTTCGGCATTGTGCATGTCATTTGCATCTTGCCCCTGCCTGCGGGTGCATCTCTTTGTTATCTTGTATGCTTGTCTAAGTCTTCGGCCTTGTCAAAAGTGAGTCGTCTCTGGGCTTTGACATTCACTCCCGCCATCTTATGACTTTCCAGTTCTGTCAAAGAGGGGCAACTGTAGACACCCCATTTTTGACCGCCCTCAAGACTTGGACGTCATCGTTTGAACGCTCGATGATCATCCACGTTCATGTTCGTTTTGAGTTCCCGAAGGTCTCGGCTGCTCGCCTTGCCTTAGGATCTCTCAACCTGTCTGTTTTGTGCTTGGTTGTGCACCAGTGACTTGTAGTTTTGCTTTTGTAGGAAGATGGTGGCTTGTTGGCCATCCCTACAACCCATCGGCTAAGGCCTTGTGCCATCGGCCTTGTTTTCTTGCCATCGGCCATAAGTGTTGGCTGATCGGCACTCTTTCTGGTCGATTGGCCATATTTTCTGGCCGAGACCTTTCCCCCTACTTTTGCAGATATTTTCTTGCCAGCTATGGTAGCTAGTGAGCACAGATCTCATCGTCCATACACGTGTATGGAGGGATTGAATCAAGTCTCAAGCTTGCTCAACAAACTTGAGAATTGAATTTCTATAAGAAGGTAGACCCCTCTCCCTTTCCAGAGATTCTGAAAAGTTGAGATACAAGATATATATATATATATCTCTATATTTTACCTCTCTCTCTATATTTGCACTCATTTGTGCTCAAAAGTGTAATTTCTTCACACTTTTGCACTAAAGCACCAGCTAGAACACTGTCCTTTTGTTGCTGAGGTACTTAGGAGCTGGTGTTAGTGTTTTTGGATTGGCTTGAGCTCAGAAAAGCTGCTGGAGTTGTGGTTTTGAAGGTGTTCTTCAAGGGTGAGTCAACTAGCCTTTAAACCTTTGTTTTGGTTTAAGCTTTTAGACCTATTTGCATGCTGATTTAAGCTTAACTTTCTACTAAAAAAGTTCTGATTTTGCATGCTTAACATGTTTGTTTCAGGTTACTTTTGTGTTGGGGGTAGTCTACCCCCTCTTAAGCCTTGTTTGGCCTTGTTCTTGTACCATCTTTTTAAGCTATTGGGATCACCTTGTTTTGGCCTTTTCACCACCGTATGTCCAATAGATCCATTTGCTCTATCATGGTGTTGAAATCCCTCATACCTCTATCTCTATTGGAGCATCCAACCCTCTCAGATAAATTCCTAATTTCATTGAAATCCCCTCCCAAACACCAAGGCCCTGGGAAGTTGGGTTTGAGGTTCACTAAACTAGCCCAGAGCTCTTGCCTTTTTACCACATCATTAGGAGCATATACATTAACAATTACACAAGGGAAACTAGAAAATAATGTACCTGAAAGTAGCAGGAAACTATGATTACAGCAGGAGTCCATAAGTTGGAAGACGGCCGGATTCCAAATGCACAATAGACCCCCAGCTCGCCCAACAGCATCGACTGCCAAAAATTCAAATCGATCACCGGGCCACATGGATCTTATGAGACTTATGCTTATCTTAGACTTTTTAGTCTCTTGGAGTAAGATAATATCCACTTTCCTTTCAACAACACCTTTCTTGATCTTTCTCCTTTTTTCAGGTCTGCCAATCCCTCTAGTATTCCATGATTGTATCTTCATATGGACAAAGTTATACTCTTGAACCCCAGCCAGCCGTAGCCTAGTTGGCATCCCCAACCCGAGCTCTAACCTTCTCCATATCTTTAGCTTCCAGCTGCTGCAATTTGCTAATAACCTCCTCATCCTTTCCTTCAAAATCGATGCCCAGAGTTTTACCCAGAGCCAAGGTAGCTTCCGGTTCAGACATAGCGAGCCTCCCTCTACTGGATTTGCTTGCCATTGAGAGTGAAATGGCAGCTGCTGCTGATCTAAAAATAGCCCCCTTCCGTAAGTTTAGTGTCGCTAACCCAAAGCTAGAAGTTCCAGTCCGAAGACCTTTCATCCTCCGAAATTTCCTCCTTGGTGCTCTCTGCTGAAATCTGGCGCTATTTGGGGGTGAGCTAGTGGCATTCAACCTCCATGTGTGCTTAGGTTGAGGATGATTCGCAGCCCCCACACCATGGGTTATTGGGGCTGAGAGTAGTGATTGTGTTCCTATATCAAAAGGAATGAGCCCAGCAGTTGGAGGGGCTAGGCTATTTGGGCCGACAGCCAGATGGTCTGAAACTGGAGCCTCAACCAATCCATAACATTCATGGGTCGGGGGTTTTTGCAAGTCCACAATTAAATTAATCCCACGAATCAAATTGTCAGGCCCAGACAAAGTTCTAATCAATCCAGAACTTTGAAATTCAAGTTCAGACCTCCCATCATCAACGGCTCTCAGCAGTCTTGCAGGGCTCTTCTGACGTACGTAGCCGATTTCTTTTGACATGCCTTTCTGTAAATCTGATTCGGCCACCATCGAAGTGTCTCTGAGCTGATCGTCTTCTACCATGGTGTTGCTGCTATCATGTGCTTGCACTATTTCATGCTCAACCCCTTCTTCATGCTTGCTCCCCATATCTGCGATTTGATTGCCAACTGTTGCAAGAGTATTATTTCTGATGCCACCAAAGTGCTCTTCGGAGGAATGGCTGAGACCGGCCATCTTCATATCTTGAATGATAATGATTTGTTCCTCGCACACCCTAACTGGGTATGTGACGCCCTTGCATTCTAAATTGAGGGATTGATTAATGGGATCCATGAAGTTTGTCGCAATCTGCACTTTTCCACATTGGAAGTGATTTAAATTTCGAGTATCCTCATCCAAAGCAGTCACCAAACCCCACATCCTACCAATGTTGATGAAGGTATTGCAACTCCAAAGGTGTAGTGGAACTCCATAACAACTGAGCCAAACCTTCCGTTCTTGGGTAATTGACATCCCATGTTTCCATTCAAGAACGGAATCTCACCAGTCATTTAGCCAGCTCTTCATTAACACAAGTTTTTCCTTCATGATTTCCTGAGCATGAAATGTTAGAACCAAGTCTCTTCCTCCGCCTGCCCTTACTTGAACTTCCCCCAAATCTCTTCTTACTATTTCTGCCTTGAATTCTTCCGCAGCGTAGATTGGTTTCAACCTAGCTATGACACTCTCGTATAACCAACCATTGCCTTCCTCATAGGCTTTGATAATGCATGAGGAGTTAGTTGCTAATGCCTTGCCACTCACCACCTCCGCAAAAAAGCTCTTGCCTTGGTATCCCACATGCGAGCTGTTGCGTTTCTCTGCAAACTTTCTAGGCTGCATTGATGGACCAGCTTGCTGTTTCGTACCATAATCCTTACTGTAATCTGCCTTTTTTACCTTTATAGCTTTATCATCGCACCAAAGCCCATTGGCTTTTTGAATAGCCATATCTGCTGCAACAGGACATCTGTATCTGACAAAGCCAAATCGGGAATTCGTCGTTTTCCTCCTCTTGTTTGGAATAAAGGTATCCACCACAACCCCATAGTTGCAGAATAATGAGAACAACCCTTTAGCTCTCATGGTTTCGGGTAGATTATCCATGAAAATAGAATGGATAGACCCATTCATCCATCTATTCCGAACTCCCCTTCCGCCGTGTCTTCGAACCACCGGCTGCCATCCTCCATCGCTTGGCTTGACCATTATCTCTGTAATGAGTTTTCTTCAACTATTGTTGACGTACATAATTCTCTATATGTGAAAGATTCATAAAAAGCTTAATTGGGAATGAGAAAGAAAATGTGAATAAAAGCGTAAGTAATATTCTTACATATATTTATTTTTTGAGTACCGTGGTAATGTTGAATGAGATTATTATATACTATGGTCTACGTGATTGTTTGATTAGAATGAGATAAAATTTGAAAGAGTATTTTTGACATTTAAATAATGGAGATTCAACTATCTCATATATGAAGGATTAGGAGTCTCAATTGAACCTCTAAACGAGCCAAACAAATATGAATTTTCAAATTTATCTATTGATTAGAATTGGTATTTTGATTTTGTGAAATATTAGAGACAACGAATTGGGTTAGCTCACTTGGCCACCTATGTATACATTTATCTCAGAGGTTGTTTGTTGTATTAGTTATTCCTCCTTATTATGAGATCATACATCATATTGATTGTTGGGTTTTTATAATTGTTGGATTATGATCCTTCCGATGTAATTTCTACCTACTAATAAGACTCTTGAGTTGGTTGTTAGACTCTTTCTTCTGTTGGAATAGTTGTTATTTAGGCAGAGGTTAGAGATTGTTCAACTATTAAGTCACTTCGTCCATTGTTTAAAATCTAAATTTTTCAAAGGCCTAATAAGATAATACTTTATTTTGATGTTTAGTCTAAGGTCTCACAGAATCTTGAACCTACTGGATGAGATTGTCGACGGTCTAGTTTGGACTATGGGTTGACCACGGGCATTATTTTCATTATTTAATTTTGTAGTTTTTTTTTTTTTTAAGTATTGTATGGATCATTTAACAAAAACATATAAAAAAAAATTTGATTCGGTAATTTTAACTACTTACATGTCTTAAAAAAAATAAATAAATAAAAATTGACAAATATAATTAAAAAAAAAACAAATGTGATCAAATTTAGTAGCAATGATAATTGGAAAATTTTCAATTTTTTATTTTTTATTTTTTTATTTATAAATAGTCAAACAATATTCTATAAATAATTCATACATTTGGTAAGCAATCATCATTATTTTTAAATAATTCACCAATTCAATTGTTTGTTTTAACTTTCATTTTTAAATTATTAATATTATAATGCAGTGTTTGGTTCACTTAAATTGAATTGAATGAAATGGTCATTCTTTAGTCATAAAATTAAAATTGTCTAAAAATGGTAAATAATAGTTTCATTTATAATCTTTTTTCGTAATCAAACGTGAAAATGAATATTATGATAGAATGATCACTCTATTCAAACTTTATTTTAATAAATCAAATATAATTAAGACCAAAATAATTAACCAAATATAACTTAAGATCAAAATTATTTTAGGACCCTATTTCTTAGACAGAATTTGGAGGCATGAAGCGATGACCTTACTCGCTTCATCTTAGGGCCAACCCTGTGTATCTGTTTGGGGAACATGTCATTGAGATTGGATTAAAAATTTATCCAAAAAAATAAAAATAAATAACAGTAATAATATCATGTTTGATTAAGAAACAATAGCCCCCATATGGAAGATTATTCCGACGAGAGGTGAGACACAAAATAAAAAAATTAAGAACGTACACTAATTGACTATATTATAAAATTAATATGATTTTATCAATTGTTCTTCATAATTCTAAATCAACTTAAACATTGAATAAAATATACAATCTAAAGTGATTGATAATCTCAAGCTTAACTCATTTAAGCCTCATTTGAGGATTACACATGTTTGGCATGAAAGTTTGGGTTGGGTTGGGCCTAGGACTATTTTAGTCATAAAAAGATAAAATAGATTTTTTAGTCAAATAAGACAAAATATCACATCGAAACCATAATCATTTTATTTTTTTTCTCAAAAAAGTCAAAAAAACCAAAAGGTAAAGAGCCTATCCCAAACGATGTTTTTTAACACCCGGCTAAAAAAGTCAAAAAGCTAAAAAGTCAAAAAAATTAACCCACATCCCAAACGAAAGTTACGTTAAAAAGTCACTATGAATTATCACACTACTTTTTCTATTTTTCTATATATCCTTTCATAAAATGTTAAAAAATTACTAAAATAGTCCGTTCACAAACAAAACCTTAATCCAATGCTTCCAAATTAAACCTGGTCTCTCTAAAAACCTCCTCCCCAAAGACTATTTCTCTCTCTAAAAACCTCCTCCCTAGGCCTCATTTTGGGTAGGCCGAGCGTCGCCTTGGGCTATGGCGGTCGGTTGGCCCAGTTCTTTCTTGTGTTTGTTTGTTAGTTTTCCTTTTAATAAACTTAATTCCCCCATTTTTTCCCACCTTGGTGTGCTTTGTGGGTTGCTGTAGATTTTGCTTGGTTTTTTTTGGGTGTTTCGGTGAACGTTATGGATGTTCACTGGGTCGGCAAAGAGGACGATTCAGATTTGGCTAGGATGTTCATTCGGGCGCTTCTTTGTGTGTGGAAGTTTGAGGGGTGTTCTCCGTTCAGATCTATGGAGGTGTTTCGGTGCTTTGTTCGGGGGGAAGCATAAGTGTCGAAGATGATCCAGATTTGTGTAGGATTTCATTCGTGCGCTCCTATGCATATGGGAGTTTAAGGGGTGAACTTCGTCCAGATGTGGGATGGTGTCTCAATTGTTGTTTTGATTAAGAGGAGGTTGGCGTTGGGTCGTCAATATAGGGGCGGTGGATTAGGTTCAGCAATGGGTGTGTTTTCGGTGTTTGGGTTGAAAAAGAAGCCATTTCTGTTAGATAATGTCTCAATGGGACCACATAATTAAATGTGGTGTTATCATTTATAAGAAGCCTACAATTTAAGTGATTCAATTTAGTTAATAGGCTTAAGGGTATATGTGTTATGGACCTAATGTGTAGATACTAGTTGTATAATTTCTATTTCTATGAGGGGCAGAAATAGAAATTAAAACATAATGGTTAAAGTTGGTTTTCATTCCTTTTGAACTTCCACAACCTTTCAGCTTTGAAAACCAGTAAATAGAAATCAAAA